TTTAGTATAGTTTTAGGCACTTAAATTTAGTTGGCGGGGAGTAAAATCCAAGTATGCAATTAAATAAGTTGCTTAAATAAATGTAGGCCTATTCCTAATTATTCAGTTTACTTTAAAAACAATATTTGATTTACAATACTTCTTTGAAGTAACTCTAATCAGAACATTTACTGCTAAGTTTGTGAGAAAGTAAGCCTCTGGGCCCTTTTCCCATACATGAACTCGTGATTCAAACACACAATTGATCCAACTACTGTATATTTGCACTGTTTATAACATGTAAAGTTATTTCATTTGATACTTAACAAAGGTGAATTTTGTGGTTATCTATGAGTTGCATATTTTGGTAGTTGAATTACTGTATGTATGTCATTCCGCTACTTTGTCAGTGGAATAACGTTTTTAAAACTTATTTCTACTATCAAAAAATGTTTCAATGGCATTGTTTTCAGATAATCTCTCAGTACATTATTTGCATCTGTTGTGTTACTGTATTTGTTATTGATTCAATTCTTGCTTTTTACAGCTAGTATTTAAATATTTGAAGATTTAAAAAAAAAATATCATTTCTATTAATACTGAATTTTTTCACTGGGCCATTTTTACCTACTAGTCATTTGGGGCCATTTTTACTGGGGCCATTTTTACTGGGGCCATTTTTTCAGAGGCCATTTTTTCCTGGCCCATTTTTTCCGGGGCCATTTTTACCTACATTCTTGTTTTCGCAACCATAACATTATGTTTCCCTATGCTATCGCACTGCAATGTTTTTCATGTATACCCAAGTTCGGTCCAGTGACCGCCAGTAAACAGTAGTCATCGCCAAAACCCTCTATTGGTACTGGATCTGTAAATTTTCAACAATATTAATACATTTTGTTCGGCTCGCAAAAATAACATGAACACAAGAATGACTCACTTCAAGGTAACTTACATGCAGCTGTTCTCACGTTTCCATGGCTTGTAATTTTGTTTCACAGACCTATCCCACATCTCTTTTAACCTCAGTTTGAGTATGTTCACCATCAGGTCGAAGGTCAATACTCAGGTGGACCTTGCCTATGCTTTAGAATTACAGTAGATGCAAATATACAGAAATTGTTCAATGTTTGTTCTATGCAGTGTGCTATTTGAATTTTTATCTGTTTTTTCCATTATAATGTTTTAGATTTTTTACAAATTTGTTTCATGTTCATTTTTATGTTCATTAATGAATTAAAATACAAAGTGATTAAAAAAGATATATAAACAAACAATAAATGGAATGCAAGTTTCGTAAAATCCTCTATAAGACATAGTTTTTTGTGTTGTTCATTCAATCAGATTTTTTTCCCTTAAGTATGGTTTAGATTCAAAATAACTTTATTTGCAAACTTAAGGAAAATTTGAAATGTACAGAAAGATTAATAGTAATATACAAAATATAAATATGAAACATTTAAAATTCTCGTTAAAACATTATAAATGATACAATTACAACAACCACAGCAACAACTACAGCTACAAAACAAGTAAAAGAAAAAGCAGGGTACCGTACCCAGAAAGGACATCAACATTAGGGAAATTAAAAATTTAGTTATAGAAGATTTAATCTTTCTTTTTATATATGAAGCGATTTTCCGCAGCGGTCCACATGCTTAAGTGTTGCTGCTGGGGAGAGAAGCAATGCAGATAAAGTGCTTTGCTCAAGGAAAGCCAAACACACAGCAAGGGATTGAAACCCTGACTTCATCAACACTTTTCTTGACACTCTACTAGCCAATAATTTTTTTTAAATTTTGAAATACCAAGGTGGTGTCCAATGATAAATATAGTTTTACGAGAATGTGTTCTTCAAGACAAAAACTGCATCGGGTCCAACTCCCTCAGACATTGGCTGCTGAGGGGAAGGTGTTTTGGTCACCCAGCAGCAAGACAAACAACGGATGAACTAAGGGAGGATGAGCTCTTCCGTGTCACAGGTCAACCATGTTCACTTTAAAGAATAGGCTTTAGGTTATTATCTTTTTTCAATACAGAATCATTAGTAGCTGAACTGCCAGAATCAGAACTGAAGCCAAAACCACCATCCACTTTTGTTTTTCTATTTGATATGACACGATCTTTACT